TTTTGTTGTTTAGCTCTGATGAAGCCCTATCCATCAGGCCCACGAATCAGTGCCCCCCACCCCCGAACCCCAATTTATCTGAAAAAGGGGTATGGTTATAGCTCAAAAACAATTATTAAACATAGAAGCTTCAGATTTCTTTTGTTCTTTAGGTCTGATGAAGCTCTATCCATCAGGCCCACCAATCAGTGCCCCCCACCCCCCGAACCCCCCAATTTATCTGAAAAAGGGGTATCTGGACATACAAAAAGGTTATAGCTCAAAAACTATTAAACATAGGAGCTTCAGATTTCTGTGGTTGTTTAGCTCTGATGAGGGGCTATCCATCAGGTCCACCAATCAGTCCCCCCCCCCCAAAATATTTTGAAAAAAGTGTGTCTAGACATGCAAAAATGCTTATAACTCAGAAACTGTTCAACATAGGAGCTTCCCAAAAAAAGACCCCCACCCAAACCACTACAATTTTAGGATGCACCTAGTAGCATGACATTTATTAGGAATAAAGACTTCTGAGTTCTGGTGCATTTGTGTGTGTGTGTGTGTGTGTGTGGGGGGGGGGGGGGGGTCATTATGTTACCGCTATGCAGTATCTTGTTTTTTTAAGCCACGTCAGTGGAAAGCAGAACTGAATATTAGTTTCTTAATTTCTTCATAATCAGTGACTTATTTTTTTGATGACTGAATACAAACCCACAAACTGTGTGATGCCAAGACACAGTGGTTAAAAGTGATTAAAAGATATCCAGACACTTCACACCTCCTGTTGAAAAAAAGTCACTTCCTGTTTCAGCTGACTCCATAGTGACCTTTTATAAACATAGCAACTAACATACAGGTACACAGCATGTGTGAGAAAAAACACATGATGCATTTAGTTCCCTTTTTTATGCACATTTCTGTGAACTGCTCCCCTGTGCAACGTGTTCTTTTAATAATACATGTGCTACCATCTCGGAATGAGTAAATTCTCAGTCAAGCAAATAATAATGCAAATACAGCAATATAAAAAGTGAAATGTGAAATAATGAAACGGAAACTACAACAGACACAATTAAATAAATAACAGACAAGAAAACAACAACAACAACAAAAAAAAAACAAAGATAGAAGGAAAAAATAAAACATTGTCAGTGATACTCAAGACAAATGACAACCTTATATTTAACTTTCAGAACAATATTAATTCCAATATATTTCTCTATGTAATGCTGACTTAACCACTGGTTCACTCTGGTCAAACTCATCTTGTTGAGAGCTTGTGCAAAAAGAAACTGTCTCAGTCATACTTCTGATAAGTGTCAAGCAATTTCGACAGATGGAGAGAAATCTAAATGTCAAAATAAATAAAACTTAATTAGAGACAAACAGGATTGAGAGATTGCTTGAAACAAACAACAACAAAACATAGTTTCATGTTTAATCCCTGGTTATTTGCGCTGATTGATGGTGTAAACCATACAACTACATGAAAAACACAAAGTAAACAGCTGTATCCCACATGACTGAAACCCAAATTAGACATTAGGCTTCTGAGTCAGCTGAAACACGAAGGAAAGAAGAAAAATTCCATGATGGTTATAGAGTGAGAACACACACATCAACTCTGAGCAGACGTCTCTGTGGTTTGGGAGACCTCGTGGTAGTGGCCAACCAATGGCACATCCTCAGCATTCCACTGCAACAACGTGCTTTTTCCTCCTTCCAGCTATTAAACTCATTGGAATTTGAGAAAAAGAAGATTTTGAGAAGTCCATATTTGTACAGAGCAGCATGAATTTAGCCTGTTTTAAACTGATTCACCAATAGAAAAACATGTGAACTCACACGTTATTTTTTTTTTTTATAAGACTCTTAAACTTCCTGTCTCAATTTCCTGTTAACTAAACTTAAGGTAAACACGGGATCTTTGTATTGATGCATCTGCTTGGCTGGTCTCCGAGGAGATGATAGAGGCTTGTAGAGACTGGGCTCCTGTGTACATTTGGTGAAACCCTGCCTCAGTGCCTCGAGCTGAATGAGCTATCCATGTGTCATGGGAGCATGACTGGACTTTTTCAAAAGGCAGGGCTTTGCAACAATAACACGGCAACGGCCTCGCTCCTGTTTGGATGCTGCACCAGCAGACTGAGCATTTTCCACAGAGTGTCACAGCATATTGTACACCGAGAAGGAATGTTCACCCCAACTCTGTTTGCCTGCTGTTAACCTCTGTCATTTCACAGGTGTAATCTTTGCATTGATTGCTGGCTTAATGCTTCATTTGACAAAACCTTAAAACAGGACACTAAGTTGAGCAACACAGTATAATCACATTATTCTAAATGTAGCACAACAGAAAGAGCAAACTAGTCAAAAGGAGAAAATATCATTCTAAAGATGACAGAACGGAAGTTTGATAGTGGTAAAAGCGGAGGGGTGAGAGGTAGCAGAGGAAATCCTGTCAGCGATGCTTGAACACATGATGTTTGATATACACATATTTATATATATTTCTTTCATTTTTTTCTTTTTATACTTTCTTTTTATTGTATATAAAGTTATTTGTTTTGTTTTAATGAAATGAATAAAAAATTGAAACTGAACAAACTCAAATGTGATATAATGTGGATGAGAGCAAACCC